TTCCTGTAGCAAAATGCATGATCTCTTGAGTTAAATTTAGTAGATTAAAATGAACTCCCTTCCAATCTTTTCATATGGCAGCCTGCCCATAAGATCAAAACACAAGTGTAGGTTAAGTTTAATTTCTAAATCAGAGTGTTGTAGACAGATGTTTGAAAGCTTAAGATGACTCAGATTCATTTGTTGCATGGCTTTCTGCCTGGATAACCATACTGTAGATCGTACCACTGCTGCTTTACTGATATATTGCCATGATGATGACATATATAATTTTATCATAACCTTTCTGTTAATGGTCCAAACTGTGTTTTTTGTAATGACTATGCAGCCAAACCACCATGTGAATGTGAAGAACCACTTCTGTCTTTAATATCAGCTGATCTCAGTCAGATAACATGATAGATGATCATTATTTTCACCCTTCATGCTTTTCCTTCAACTATATCAAGCTCAAGGTGATAGACCCCAAATGAGTGATGTCTTGAATTGCTACAGTATGTCTGTCTTTTCTTCACTATGTAGTTGTCTTCATCTGTGTATGGAACATAGTCAACCAGGGTTTTTACAGAAAATATTTGAGTGACAGTGGGGAACCCATATTTGAATAAAATGGGTTCCCCACTGTCAATTTTCATGTTTACATTGCAGTTTTTGCAGCTAATTTTTCATCAGAAAAGTAACTGATGTGTTCTTACTTAATTCATTCACATTTTTTATTTAGACAATGATTGAAAACTTGTTTGAGAAAACAGGCTTACATAAAAAGATTTCATAGACCTTAAAAGCTACTTTTATAACACCAAGAAAAGAATGGTAAGAGAAAGGGGACAGCATTTTTTTATTTGTTTCCTTATATCAGGATAATAAAAAGAGTGGGTTTTTCTCAGTTTTAACCTAATTAATCCATTCAGAATGCAAGCCGCTTAATGGAACAGGGACATCTTTATGGCAAGTTTGTTTCTTTCGTAAAGCAACCATGAAAATGTTAAATTCTAGCACATTTTAACTTTGTTTTTCTCTGGCTGCCCTCTTGTTTATAAGTTAAATATTTTTCCTGTCTTGTTTTGATACTTCTTATTGCCCCTGGTGTAACTGCTCAAAGGACTCTCTGTCTGGGGTTTGCAGCAGAGCAGATTCAGACAGTTCTGCTTGGAGAAGGAAGTGGAGAGTTTTGGTTCCCATTTTGCACTTCTGGAACAGTTTAGGGAAGGAAGCACCTTTACACCTTTTATTGTTCGTGGTTGCTGACATCATATCCTTCCCTGACCGCTCTGTGCGTGTTTCCTGCCATTCTGTCAAGATTCTTCTGTGTTGCAGAGCAGGAATAGTGGGTGTGCATATGTGTGTGTATGTGTTGTGCCTATATGTCTGTGTGTGAGTGTTCAAAAGAGAGATGGGAGCAGTCAACTGATCTGCTGCATTTGTCCAATAGCTCTTTGCCCTTCTCAAGGCTCAGATCAATCTTCTGTCAGCTACCACTGCCTCTGCCAAATCACAAAGTGAACAGAAGCCCGCCAAAAATGAAGTTCCTCTTTTTGTAAGCAGTCTGTTTTATTTATTTTTTTTTAATGTTTGGCTTTGCAAAAAGAAAAAAATGCAGATGACTGTAACACAATAGCATCTAACACTGTGTTTCTTTAAATGCAATTTGTTTGCATGTGACCTTATCATTAAGTTGGAAGGTTTCTTTTATGTGGAGGTACTTCAACAAAGTTCTTTTTAAATTCTCTTGGATAATGGAAGCCTGCAGTGCTATTTCAGTTTTGTAGTACATTCAACTTTTCTAGTCAATGTGCTTTATTAATGTTAGGGAAATAATTTATGAGTTAAGAGGAACTTTAAATACTTGATAGTGCAATTTTTAACCCTGCAAGAACTTTCAAAAAGTGTTGAGAACACTGGTGAAGACCTAAAGCAGCCATGGCAATTTTTTAGTCTCCAGAGGTCTTGACATTCTGTTTGACTTAGAAATTATAGCCCTTGAACAATAATATAGTGAACATTATAGCCCTTGAATGAAATGTCTTGATTTACTTATCTGTGTCTCATTGATTAGGAATTAATCCAACTGTTTGTTTAATATATGTACTAATGAAATAAATAGAACTACACACAAAAGCATAGTAAGAATAGCACTTGAAACATTATGTGTTGATAGGTATATTTATGCGTATATGTGTGTGTGTGTGTGTTGTGTGTGTGTGTATGTAAAAGAATGACAGATATAGAGAATACCACAACATTCCCAATTTGTCTCTCGTAGTGGTAAGAATAGCAGAAATTATTTTTTTAAAAGGAAATAAGTTTGCTACAACAATTGAAAGCTTATATTTGACATTAGAGAAGTAAGAAAAAAAGCAAATGGAAGAAAGATTTTTTTCAAGAAAACCCGTGGTGTGTTGAAACAAATTTATGTTTCTTTGCAAATTGTGTGGTTTATACATATGACCTAACACAATTTGTCTTCTCCTTCAAGTTCTCTCAAGTTGCATGATAATTAACAATTAAGTCATCCTTGCTCCCTTTCAACTTTATTTTCCTACACATCTCTTTTTCCACCTAAAATAAAACTAGTGTAGTAAAGCAATGAAAAACAAAATTCTGCTCATCAAGTGTTGCGTGAATTACTTTAAGATAATTTTGTGTAGATCACAGAAATTTTAAGTGTTCTGACTTTCAACTGCCTATAAATTTTTTGTTGTTTAAAGACTGGTCTTAAATGTGGAACTGATAAGTATGTGAGAGAGATTCAACATATTGCTCCTCCACTATGATTTCTCTCCTTCCTGATAAGATTTTTCTCAGCATTAAGAGATTTTTTTTTTCTGAACTCACTAAGCATGAGCATCTTGATCTGCAGAACAGCTCATCCTCACTAACCAGTCACCACTGCTCTAATCTGTCCACCCTGACCTTCCACCTTGCAGTGAATAGGAGCTTAGGCAGACATAGTGCTGTAAACTGATAGGGCCACTGATTTCAGTTGAATGAAAGGAGAGGAAGTTGTTCCATATGCATTTGCTGTGGATTAGTTTATGGGTTTACTGTCACAGAGAAAGCCTGTTAGACTCCTTCGAGTCCTGCATGTGCATGGGAAACACTATTCTAACTTGGTCTTTTTGTTGGAGGTAAGACTATAGAAAAAAACAGGAAATAAGCCTAGTCCAAGGAAATTTAAAACTGTTTCTAAAAATAGACTGGGTTTGTTTGTCAACACTGAATATCAGATAAGACTGTCTCCTAGTGTTTGGGAAAAAAGATTTTAAAAATACATTTGATCAATTTATTTCATATTTTTGGAATTTTTTAACTTTTTTTGTTGCAAATATGGTCAAGTACCTTTGTGTCTTTTTAAGTAGTCAGAAGTTACTGTTTTCAGCTACAAAATGTAGCAGCAAAAAAAATATTTTTAGCCCACACTTTATTATATTATCAATATGAATTGGCCCATGTTCCATGTTTTGCATTATGTTAATGATATATAAATATGGCTAGAAAATAATATAAAAAAGCATTTTTGTGCAGAAAAGTAATAACTACTATACTTGAAAATTTGTTTTGCCCAACAGATTAAATACATCATAGTGGCTAGTTAAAAAACTCAGACTATTTATTTGTTAACTTTTTTTTTTAGTCATAAAACATGAGCAGCTTAATATATGTGAAGAAAATAAAGTGACAATTGAAGATCAGGAGTGAGGTCTAGCTTTTCTACCTCAGTAGCTTTGAATCAGAGATAAATAATGGAATAAATGGCCACAACATCAGCTTAATGCTATGTAACATATTGTGATAATTTATCAGGTTGGCTGACAGACTACAATCTTAGAATAAATATGGAAACACTAGCTCCTGTTTTAAAATTACCAAATTTTTATTTCCAAGGCAATATTTTTAACACTCTGTGAAGCTATCATGAAAATGTTAAAAACCATTTAAATTAGTGTTGTTCAGATTTTTTTTTCCTCTTCTGTATTTCAAAGAACTCTGTACTGTTCTGTTCAAAATACGTAAATCTAAAAATATTGTAAACTAAGATTATAGAGGGGGAAAAATTATGTCTTTTACCGCATACTAGACTAACTAATTTCTGTATTTTCTTCTATTTTCATCTAGTCTTTCATTGCTAAAAGCACTTTGGATATGATAGAAATTAATTATGTGATTCATGACATTTTGTGAAATATAGAATGTGTCCTGCATTGTGTATTTTTTGTATATTGCATGTAACTGTCCTTAGCTCAGCGAGAGAGCCAGTATTGTAAAGATCAGTGCATTACTAAAAAAGTAAAAATATTTTTCAGAACATTCATAAATTATCATCTGTCTCTATTATTCCATTTTTATAAGGAAAGATATGTTTGCTGATTATAACTTCTCCATCAAAACATTTTAGAACTTACACTGAGATGAAACGAGGGGAAAATGCGCTAGTGTTTTCTTCAAGTGTCTTGAGTGATACTTTCATTAATCCATATTCTTAAAGAATAAGGTTACAAATTTTGGATTTAAAGTAGCTGACATCCCTTATATATCAAGTAACACTTTAATAAAGGTCTATCATATTTGCATAATGAGGGACATTATCACCTCTGCTGTCAAAACACAAGATTGTTTTCCTTTCAGAAATGAATTAGCTGGCCTACTTTGCATACATAGGTACAGAAAGGTTCATTAACTCTCTGATTTAGGTAATTTTTCATATTAGATCTGTGAGTGATATTTGAAATTAGAGGCACCTAATTCTGTTAAAACTTTCACAATGTGTATTTCAGCCCTTTTCTTTACTTGATATATTGGTGGTTTGTTTGTTTTTTTTTTAAGAAGCCTTTGAATTAAATTATTATTTCTCCATACATTACTTATTTTATAGATGCAGTAAATTTTTATTATAATTTACGTGTGCACTAAATTATATTGTAGATGCTTGGGCAGCTCCATAGTAACTTTCATCTGGTTATCAATTTCATAATAACATTTGATTTCCTTTCTGTGTTTAGCAGGAACGGATGCAGAGGACTGTGAACTGAGTAGAGCAAGTGCTGAAGAAAGAGGTTTGTTTTGAGGAAACAGGAAAGAGGAAGAAAAGAGAAGGGAAAAATACGTAATTTTAAGGAAGAAGGAGAGAAAAAAAAACGGGGACTATGGGGAGAAAAAAGATTCAGATTACAAGGATTATGGATGAACGTAACAGACAGGTGAGTTGCAAACATACCACATTTGATCATCATATATTTATAAGGTGACATTATCAAAAGTGATAAAAAGTTGATAATTTTGTGTGCCTATGCATTTACCTACATATATGTATGTATATACACAATGTATGTAAGGCCATCAAAGAAAAAGCCATCAACAAATATTTGTTGATAGGTCATTTTATAAATGACCAGAAACCTCACACACAGCGTTTTCAAGTTAGTAACATGCATAGTTAGTAATTTATTACTTCAGGTCTTGGTTCTACAAAGTCTGATATTTATGCTCTACTTTGGGCCCCCTCCACACTTACTTTGACTTTCAGTCTGGAATATACATTGTTAAGCACATCTGTGAGTTGTTACAGAATGCAGACTTTTTGTACTGTATTTTGTGAACTGTTATGAGTTATTATGATATGAGGACTTGCATTTAAATACAGAGCTCCCAACTATTTATGTTTCTACACCTTTGCAGTGTTTTTATTTTTACCTCCTTCATATAAAAATGACACTGCATCATAAAAAAAATCTCATCTTTTCCTGTCTGAATTTTAAAAATAATTTAGGTACCCTCACATATTCTAAAATTCATATAGAATAATATTAACATGTTGTAGTTATTAAGCCAAGTGACCATCTCTGATGCTAGGTCCAGCAGGACCGGCTAACTAATTATTACCTCTCCTTTAGATAAAATGGCTGAGTCACTGTCGCGTATTATCAACACTGTCTCTGCTAGTTAGATCATGGCCATAAATTAGAGAATCTGCTTTCCTGTTTTCACAAAAATAAAATTTAGCAATTGACATCTTTAAATAAAATCAGTGAAAATACTGCTGTTTACATTTGAAGTAAATGGATAGATGTTTTGTTGAAACTGGAGATTCACAATTGTGAGAAACTCTCCATATAATTATTTGACACTATGATTAATGTTCTTCATACACCTGGCTGCAATTTAGGAATAATCTTCAGTAGCTGATTTTAAGAGCTTGATACCCAGTTACTGTTAATATGGTAGTTCTATTCATTTGATGTATAAAATTCTTTATATATTCAGGTTGTTTTTTAAGAAGCTTAGAGGATTTTGTAAAGCTGTAAAAAACTCATCCTAGGCATAACAACAAATTGTAGTCTTTAAACATGCTTCCCAAGAATTTTTAAATTTTGTAGTGTTAGTAGTCACTTGTGTTCTTCATGGGGGAAAATCATATGTAAAAGCAAAATGATACATTTTGTGTTTTCCCTAAAGGTTGCCAGTTCCTGTGGGACAAGCCAAAAAGCAGTAATTCTAGCAATATAAAACTATCATCATGTTTATTTTAATTGGCTGATAGCTTGAAGTTTAAATTGGATTTGAAATATTGAATTGAATTTATCATTAAATGTTAAGTCACTAGCTGTTTGAAACTTGCCCATGCTACCCTGGTTTCTTTTTGAAGGGAATCTGAATTGTTTTGTAAATGATACTACAAAATTTTGCCATTAGTAACATTAGTTCATACAATAGCTTCAATGTCAACTTGCTTACTCAAATAAAGCATTTACAGAGACCTTAGCCCCAGTTTTGCCAAAGAGATATCTTACTAAAGATAATTTACTTTTAAAAAGTCTAGTCTTTCAAGTCATGCACAGTACAGTTTCAAGAATTCCAGCACCAGCTTTCAGAACTAATGATTATGAATAAAACTGTAACGCTAGAGAAATAACAACTGTAGTGATAGTGCAGAAAGTGTTTATCTTGCTAGCATTTCACAGACACATAGAATTATAGAATGATTTGGGTTGGAAGGGACCTTAAAGATCTTCTAGTTACAACCCTTCTGTCATGGACAGGGACAACTTCCACTGGACCAGGTTGCTCAAAGCCCCATCCAGCCTGGCCTTGAACACCTCAGGGATGGGACATCCACAGCTTCTCTGGGCAAGCTGTTCCAGTGCCTCACCATCCTCACAATAAACATTTTCTTCCTAATATTTGATCTAAACCTACTTTCTTTTAATTTGACTACATTCCCACTTGTCCTGTCACTCCATGCTCTTGTAAACAGTCCCTCTCCATCTTTCTTGTAGGCTGCCTTCAGGTACTGAAAGGCTGCACTTGCGTCACCCCAAGCCTTCTGTTTTCCAGGTTGAATCAAATTCAATTTAATTAGCAAATTTAATTTGCTAATATCTATGATGGTGATCAGCCTCTGTGAGGCTAGAGGTATAGATTTGCATTATGCACCACATAGTAAGCCTGACTTGATTCCATTTCTTATTTCTACTAATATATTGTATGACAATTTTAAAAGTGTTTTACTGGTTTTATCCTCTTTGCATTTAGTGTCCTGATTTAGATCTCAGTGAAGCCAATGAAAAGATTTCCATTGATTCATTTGGACTGTGGGATCAGGCTTTTTAATAGTGACCATATATATATGATTAAATACAACTGGATTTTCAGTAATAGCTGATTGATCTTTTAACTATTTGTATGAGATGTACTCTTTCACAAGCCTCTCTGGTTCTTAAAATATAATGTATCCCATGCGGTATTGCTGCTTCAGCATAGCAGCATCAGTTTATTTGTTTTCTAACTTGTACACTTCCAGTAATCTTAGAAGATTACCTTGTTTATTTTGCTATATTGTCTTTTTATTTGATTGTATTAATATATACTGAAAAAGATTAAAAGGTTGCACTGGAAAGAAAAAAAAAGATTAAAAGTTTTCAATTAATACAACTAAGATACCAGCTCAAGCACAGTTCCTCAAAGCCTATTTGTAGTGCCATTTACAGGTGGAAAATTTTTCTTTCTACTTCATGAAAACGTGTTTGCAAGAACAGCAGCAAATCAGTTGACTTGAAACTGCCTTATTGTTGCTTATATTCATATGCAGTCTGGTTTCATGACACAAGGTTTGTTAGATGGAAATATGATATACCTGGATGGTGCATCCTCAGCTGTTCTGAAGCACGTAAATTCTCTGCAGGACAGCACATGCAGGGAAAAATACATGGAACACATATCAAATGAAGAGATATAGCAATAGTTTAATTATTCTCTCCCAGTGCAAAGGTGAATCTATTTGGAAAGCAGAATTTCTGAAAAAAGGTTTAAGTTGTTACAAGACCTGGGGAAGGTGGTTTCTGTCCTTGCTTTCCCACTCACTTGCCCAGTGTCCTGACAAGCTCTCTACGTCAACCATTGAATGGTGTACTTATTCTGTCAGTATATCAGCTGTTTTCCTCCACACTACTGTCTGATATAGTAGGAGACTCCCCTGCTGTTCAAAGTGCTGTATGACTGGATTGGGAAGGACAAAAATAGTGCTGACCTCTCTTCAAGAGGATTTTTTCTGAGCAAGTCTAATTGGTTGGATTTGTGTACTTCAGTACACTTTGTGTACTTATTACCACTTACTGGTAATAAATGTAAGTTGAAACTGTCCAGAGTAAGATATCTGGCTGCAAATCTCACAGAAATGTGCAATATGGGGATACAATGTGCAATTTTCCAAAAACTATTTGAAACTTTGACATTTTGGGATAAGTTAAAGGGAAACTACTGCAACCTAGTCATTAGAGGCCCAGTCCTTTTACCCTGACCTGCATAAAAGCTCTGTCATTTACTTCAGTGATTGCAGAATTCAGGCTTTTAATTAGGAGAAGCCATTAATTAAATGTTGTTTCATGTGGACTGCAAGTTGGCTGTATTTTTCTAGCCCTCGTAATTACTGTGTGGTGACAAAGGTGGCAAGAATGTTTGAGTCTTCTATGAGTGATCACAAATTTTCTTTGGTTGTGAAAGTTTAAAAAAGCCAATCTGAAACATTCCCTTTCACGCTACTTTTTGCCACAGGTAAAAGGAGTATGAATAATTGTCAGAGCTAGAGGAATAATACCAGCTCACATGGTATTAGTTGCACCACCAATAGGATCAATAGCCAAAAATATTAGCATTGATATCTCATGCTAGAAGCTCCTGACTACTACAAGTTCTTTCTGCAGAAATTTCAATCAAGCAGATTGGAGAATCCTTCTATGAAGACTTCTAGGTTGGTTAAAAAAAAAAAGAAGAAAAACAAGGAAAAATGTGTGAACTTTATTTTCCTTTGGTTTCTTATTTGAAAGAAATAATATAACTACCTTTATTATGGTCAAGACATGAAGGAACAATTGCATTCATCTGCCTCAGAAAAGTCCTTGAATTTTTTCTGGTTTTAATCCGTTTGTAACATTTTGTTGTTTTAATGAGAGCCTTTCATGGTCTGCTTTAGTCTGGGATCATCTGAAACTCTCTTTGCAGCCATCCAGGCAGGGCTGTCCAGGTCTAAAATAAATAGTTGTAATGACATAAATGATATGGTATTACTGTTAAACAAGGTCACTAACAAAATATCTCATTAAATCCATGGACTGTGGGCTAAATCCAGAGGTACATTGACCCAGGAATGAGGGTATATTGACTTGATAATATTCTGGTATCAATTCTGGTAAACCCTCTTGCTTTTAATCCCCCTTTTTTTGCAGTTAGTATTAAGAAATGTGAGATCTCACCATTTTTTGTCCCTCTGATCATCTTACTCATTAGTTCCGCAGTTTTTTCCTTTTTGTGAAGGTTCACAGTTAAAACTGAATTGACCTGACTAATGATTCTGCACACCATTCAAAACACTTCTTTCAATTTTGTAATGAGCAGCTGGGACCTTGTTATTAAATACCATAGGAACTGTGCACTTTAATATGAAGGTGCCTAAACAGTGGTCCACCCTTTTTAAAGTATCGTGTGTGTGTGTGGAATTCAGTGGGGTATAACAGCAACAAACACTTGCTGTGTAACTTTTTCATGTACAAACTTTTTACCAGTCTTTGATTTCAGCAAATCTGTAAAGCTGTAAACCAAGACTTACTGAAGTTATCAGCTCAATAGAGAGCAAATCAAAGCAGATAAGTAAAGTGAGGTTATGGGGCAGTGGAATAATATCCTAGAGGGAAATGACCATTTGCAG